GTGCATGTCCTTACCAATCCGCCAATCGTGGAGCTCCATGACTCAGAGGAAAGAGTATCGCTCAACATCCAAAATTATTCCTCCCCACGGGCTCCTCGAAGATACGTTCACCACCACTCGCCTCAACGTAGCACATCTTCAGACCCCGCTCCTCGAAAATACGCTCACCACCACTCGCCTCAGCGTAGCACATCCTCAGACTGCGCGCCTCCAAGAGACGCTCACCGCCACTCGCCTCAGCGTAACACATCCTCAGACCGCGCGCCTCGAAGGGAAAATCGTCGCCAATCACAGCGTCCACTAAGGCAAAGAGCTCGAGCCCCTTCAAGGGAGAGAGCGACGCAAAGCCGTCGGACGAGAAGGGTTTATTCCCGGTCGTATGACTATGGTCAAAGGCCTCGAGGCGGGGGGACACCGCGAAGATGCGCACCACCGCGAAAACTCTCATTGAAACCAACTCGGAAGTAGAGCTTCCTGACACCAGGAAACAAGAAGGCAGCGAGCAGGCTCCGGCGACTGCAACTCAAGGAGTCCTCAGGGAGAAGTCTCGAGGTCGATGGACGCTCACTTTGGGGCATTCTCCACCCGAGTTACCAATTTATTCATGCTATTATGGAAGAAGTGTTGTCTCTCGGATTTAGGACCCCCAATCTCCCCCAATTCGATGGAACCGGGGATCCCCAAGTTCACTTAAATAATTTTTACGCCAAGATTGACCTCTACGGCCTTAGTAACGCATCTTACTGCAAGATTTTTCAGACCACGCTAACTGATCAGGCAAAAATTTGGTTCAACGGCTTGCCCGGATCGTCCATAGACAATCTGGACCAACTAACGACGATTTTCCGTCACCAATACTCTATAAGCAAGAAATACGCCAAAACTGATCGTATCTCTTCAAGGTCATACAGCGGGACGGAGAGTCGCTCATGAATTACTTGCAACAATTTGTCAAAGCAGTACATGAAGTGCCCCTCCTTAATCACGAAATGTTAACCGACATACTGTAACACAATTTGAAGCATGTTCGTTTTCAAGAGTACATTGCAGGCCGACCCCCTATGACCCTAGAGGAGCTCCTGAATCGCATTAAGAAGTACATTCGGATTGAGGAGACTGCAGAGACGAGGGTACCCCTTAAGCGAAAGCGCGATGAGGGAAGCCACAACTATAATAGAAAAGAAGAGAGGCGTCACGCCAAAAATCGCACCTTCGAGAAGTTCTTACCTCTCAAGGATAAGCTTGTTGACATAATGATCATCGTAGAGCAGAAATGAATTCTTCATCCATCGAGATGGATGAAGGAGAATCCAGAACAAAAAAAATTGGATGATTACTGTGAATACCACAGAGATCGAGGTCACACTACTGAGGAGTGTTTTCAGCTTATGCGAGCGTTCGGAAGACTTGTCCACAACGGGCACTTGAGAGAATTCCTAGAACAATCGCAATCCTGAAGAAATACTTTACTTAGTATTTACTATTGCCCCCACGCGGGCCCCATGTAATTTATTTTCAGCAATAAGTCGATGGCATACCGCCCCGCACAATATTTTCAAGGCATACCACCAGCATGATTCTTAATAAACTACTTTAGCCGGTGGGATACCGCCGCCGTAATTTCTACATCAACCATTTTTCTTCTCTACGCGTTTTCGTTCGAGGTATCTACAATCGATTTAACAAAAAATCAATTGACTCAAAAAATAGCTAAAGAGGAAGATATCAAGGATCACAAAGGGTCTGGCCAACCCGAACCTTGGTTTCTCGCTCCCCAAAGCTTAAAAAAATAGAGCAACTAAAGCTCAGGGGAGTCTTACCCACCACAAAAAACTTAGGCAAACGGGCAGACTTCCTGCATAAAAAACTTGAGGGTCTGATCAACCACCAAGTACAAAAATACGGACTTCCCACTAGGCGTTAAAACCAAGGGATACCGTCTTACCTAAAAAGATAAAGTAAAAGCTTATTCGTTACGAGAGTCGAGCCTCCCACTAGGCGATATAGCCAAGGGATACCGTCTCACCGAAAAAGATGAAGCATAACTCATTATTTACAAAAATACGGACTTCCCACTAGGCATTAAAGCCAAGGGATACCGTCTTACCTAAAAAGATAAAGTAAAAGTTTACTCTTTACGAGAGCCGAGCCTCCCACTAGGCGATATAGCCAAGGGATACCGCCTCATCGAAAAATGTGAAGCATAACTCATTCTTTACGAAATGCGTGTCTCCCACTAGGCAATAAAGCCAAGGGGTTTCGCCCCGCTAAAAAGATAACGTAAAGCTCATTCTTTACGAGAGACGGACCCCCCACTAGGCGATATATCCAAGGGACGCCGTCTTGCCGGATAAGTTGAAACATAACTCATTCTTTAGGAAATGCGCGATTTTCACTAGGCAACGAAAGCCAAGGGATATCACAACTTCCTCCAATAATTTTGGCGACTGATCATCGCAGTACTACAAATGGGCCTCCCTTAAAAAACTATCATCGTCTAACTGCAGCGCCCGCCTCTGCAAGATCCCTGTAGCTGACTTCAAAATTTCCTACCACCTTGAAACTCAAGGTAAACAAGAAAATTATTTCGTCTTCGAGCGACTATTCCTAATTAATCCCAGGCAGACCCACAGGCCCGTGACTCAACCTGAGAGTGGGGGGCTTAATGATGTGTCTAATTGGACTTTAACCCAAAAAGCCCAATAGGCTCATTAAAAGGAAAAGCCCAATACAAAGGCCTTAATTAAGAACTTTATGAGAAGCTTATGGGAAGAAAGCTAATGTTTTTTGTCCCACATTGGTTTTCTACAAGAAAACCATACCAAACTCCACCTATAAATATGTGTTATCAATCATATAATAAGATACGCACTATTTAGGCAATTAATTAATATTAATTGTTTATATTATGATAATCTTCTGACTTGAGCGTCGGAGAACAATCGTCGGGCCACCCCCGGCGTGTCACCTAGTGTTTTCAACTGTTTTGTAGGTTAACAAGTGAAGCCGTCCCTTTGACTACCTCAGACGCGTGGCAAGGAGGACTCTTGGCATTCCTGATATTGGGCTTGAAGATTCCCGGACTTAGGAGGCCTGGGCTTCAAGACCATTGGGCTGACCCAACATTTTGGAGCAGCATCACCAACCATCTTGATTATTCTAGGTTCAGGCTATGTCTCTTTCGTCAATAAGCATATCCATTTAATATGTATTTAAAGGAAACATTTATGTATATAACAAAATTACACCCAACCATTTACACCCAATTCTTAATTGTAATCTCAATTTATTCCATTTTGGCAACAAAAACTCAATTTTGATTTTTTTTTAACTTTTCTTCTTACGGAAATTATTTTTTTGCCGGCCGTCGCCGACGTTGACTTTTCGATTTTTTTTTCTAATTTGTTTTCTCCGCCACCGGTTTCCGGCGTTGACTTTTTCGATTTATTTTTTTTCGCTTTTTCCGCCGCCGGTTTCTGGCGTTGACTTTTTTTAGTGATTTTTTTTTTCTTTTTTTATCCATTTTTTTAAGCCCGCCGCTAAACATTATCCGTAATTTGTACTGTCATTAACCGTAATTATACTGCCACTAACAATACGTTAACTTAGTAATTATACTGACGTTAACAGTACATTTATGTAATTGTACTGTCGTTGACAATACAATTAGAGAAATTAAGAGTCAGCGACAATATTATTATTTTTTTGGCTTTTTCTTTAGTTTTGTTTGATTTGTTGACAAGCCAACGTTTATATTACTGTCGTTGACAGTAAAATAACTGTAAACACAATAATATTAGTGTCAACCACATCAATATTATTATTTTTTGGTTTTTTTGTTTTGTTTGAGTTGTTGACGGAGTAACGTAATAATATTAATGTCTACTATTGTAATATTACTGTAAACAAAATAATATTATTGTGATTGACGGTAATATTACTGTTGTTACAGTAATATTATTGTCAACCACAGTAATATTAATTCTTTTGGCTTTTTTATTATGTTTACCTTTTGTTGAACAGTCAACATATTAATATTACTCTATTACACAATAATAATGACTTTTGTTGTGTTAATATTACTGTGCTAGAGATTAATATGACAATATTATTGTGTTAAATTGTAGTATAGTTAATTTTACTGTGTTTAACAATAATATAGTTAATATTCTTGTCAACCACAGCAATATTGATGTTTTTATCCGGGGGCAAAAATATGTTAAAGAAAAAAATAGAAAAAATAAATAAAATTTGAAAAAGTCAACGCCGGAATCCAGCGTAAAAAAAATCATGAAGAGGGAAAAAAAAAAGTCAACGGCGGCGACGGACGAAATTGTACTCAAAATTGTGTTTTGGGTCAAAATTGAATAATTTGAGAAATTTGGGTTCAAATTGAGGTTGAATTAAATTAAATGATGAAATTGGGGCATATTAATATGTGATGGACTATTTTAGTCTTTTACAAATCTCTTGACAACGTGTCGATTTTTTTGTAAAAGAGTTTATTGTTTTGACCCCTTTATGTATAAGTACCCATTGATGGGCTTATTTGTAAAGTGCTCTATTAAATACTTCATATGTCTGGGTGGTTGCTGCATACTACGAAACTCAATAAATATGCATGGATTATACAAAAATATATTCATCATTAATTATTTTTCAATTAACTATTTAAGATTGATAAGGGGCAAAATTGATAAAAATATAATTAATTGACAAATAATTTGGGGAAAAAAATTCTAAAAAAAAATTAATATAGGACAGAGGGAGTAGTTAATAATTAGTTTTATTGTTCTTTGTATTTTCTCCTTCTCTCTCTCGCTTATCGTATATTTACGTTCTTATGCATTGCATTATTCCACAATCATCAAACCAAAATACTTGATAAATATGCCATTTTACAACAGGTCAAAGATTTTCTCAATTTTGTTTTTAGATTAATATTTGTGCTCTATAAAATTAATTATTAGAAATAAATTTCACGCTTTTGTGCATCATTAAGTTAATTAAAAAATATATATACCACACAGACATGTTATCAATATTCTCTCATTTTTATAAGAGAGTCTAACATCAATTAGACAAGAAATCGGCAGCAACCGGTTGCAAGTGAAAAATAAAAGAACACGCGCACTAGACGGAATTTCTCAAAGTTGCGGTGGTGTAAGCAAATAAAACGACCACCTATATACGCATCTTCTCGTTGCGCTCTTCGAACTCGTAAAACACAACTACATTTTAAGCAACAACGGGTGAAGCAGATGATGGCCTTGGATAAGAAGCAGTAGCTTTTCGACGATGAAGCTTCTGTTGATCAGCTTCTACTTGTTCGGGTTTAACAGCAGTGCCCGATTCTTGAAGTTGTTCTAATCCTTTAACGACTTCGTTCATAGTGGGCCGGTATTTGGGTTCTGTGGCTATGCACTTGATAGCAAGAGTTGCTGCCTTCAAAGCCCCACTTGGTGTGTATTGCCCTTCTATACGAGCGTCCATTATTCTAAGTACTCTCCTTTTGCTCGCTAAGTAAGGCTTCGCCCATTCTATTAGATTTTGTTCCCCATGTGGTCGGTTCTTGTCCAATACTCGTTTTCCGGTTAATATTTCAAGAAGAACCACCCCGAAACTATACACATCACTTCTTGCAGTAAGATGCCCTACAAACAAAATCAAATGTAAGAAGACCAGAACATAACTAAAACTATTAAATCCAATAACGCATCCGGACCAACGGTAATCTTGAGGTTTATATTAGGGCAAATTACGGCCACCCCTGAGCTATGGTCAAATTACGAAAAAACCCCTCCTGTTTGGGTAATTACAGCCACCCATTCAACTATGTATTGTCTTACGAAAATACCCCTCCAGAGGTAAATTAAGGAATGTTAAATCGGTAAAAACCGAATCGAAATTTCGGTACGCCAACATTTCATACTGTTTACCGGACTGAATATACGATTTGGTTCGGTAAATAAACGAATTACATAAATTTTATGTAAAAATATTAAAAATGAGGGGTGGCTATAATTACCCAAACAAGAGAGATTTTTCGTAATTTGGTCATATCTCAGGGGTGGCCGTAATTTGCCCTTTATATTATACATATACATATACATATATATACATATACATATACATATATACCTGTGGCCATATACTCTGGAGCTGCGTAGCCATATGTACCCATTATTCTTGTAGACACATGGCTTTTACCATCCATAGGGCCATCTTTAGCCAACCCGAAATCAGAAAGCTTGGCATTGTAATTCTGTTAGTTCAACCAAGCAACATAATTAAAAAAAACAGATATTCAACTATGATGTAATAAAAACCGAAAAAATGAAGTTCAGACATACAGAATCAAGCAAGATATTGGACGACTTGAAATCGCGGTATATAACTTTAGCCTCAGGGCTGTGAAGATACGCGAGTCCCTTTGCCGCACCAAGAGCCACCTTCATTCTTAGGTTCCAAGACAACGGTTGGAAATAAGACGTCCCTATATATTTTCAAACACATTTCAATCATGCTATAATGTCAATATATTGAGGCCAAAATCAAGATTTAGAGGGTGTTTGGCTAAGCTTATAAGATGTTAAAAGGAACTTATAAGATGTTTTAGAGCTTATAAGCTCTTCCAAAGTGTTTGATGAATTTAAAAAAAAAAAATCTTATTTTTTCTAAAAATAAGCTGTTGGAGTGCAAATAAGATCTTTTTTAAAAAAGTATTATAATGAGTAAAAATAAGAAATAAGCTCAGTATCTCAACACTCTAAAAATTAATCATAAATAAGATGTAACAACTTATCAGCTCAAAAAACATCTTATCAGACATAAGAGCTTATCGGCTGTTTAAAATAGGCTTAGCCAATCACCCTCTTACAAAGATAAGATGATAAACCAAAAATATATGTATATATAGTAATCAACTCACTCCTGAATAAATGATTCTCCAAGCTGCCACGTGGCATGAACTCGTAAACGAGAAGCCTGTGTTCATCCTCCAAGCAATAACCAACCAATTTCACTAAATTTGGATGGTATAGTTGCCCTAAGTAATTGATCTCAGTCTGAATTCAAGATTGCAAATTAGTCAGATAATTTTTCACTAATTAATGATTTGGAATAAATATTTGATGAATAAAATTAAAGTAGTATGTAGTACTACTTACCAACCATTCCTTGTGACCTTGGAAACTTTCTTGGTTCAATCTCTTTGCAGCAATAACCATTCCGGTACCCGGCTTAGCAGCTCTGAACGTATTCTCATCAATCCAACCTTTGAATACGCACCCGAAACCACCTTCGCCCAACACACTGTCGGGCCGGAAATTCCGGGTGGCGATTCTCAACTCATTGAAGCTGAAGCTCATCAAATTTGATGACTCCAAAATTTCACCTTCATCTTTTGGAGTGGGTGGCGCCGAGGAAGAAGAGCGCCGGCTGCTCGTCTCCCTTCCGTCATTGCTTACGTACCTCGAACTCGGCCCTGTTTAGTCGGCACTTCATTTTATCAAACAGTTGGAGTGCAATCCAATTATACATCTCAATTAATTCATTTCTCTCTTAACAATGGTGAGATGGAAATGACAAATTGACAGCACCAACTATATATAGTGAAATTGAAACTAGATTGAATTTTATAGTAAGAGAGATCTTCATTAATTATGCAGACAAAATAAATTAGGAAAAAAAATAAAAGATTGGTCCGATGAAACTGAGAATTAACTAACCGTCTCGACGAGGACTATGATCCGCCCTAACACGAATACTGCAGCAAGAACCCATCAATGAAATGAAATCGAAAAACCAGAAAAAGAAAAAAAAGATGAATTATCAAAAGAGGAAAATATTCAAAGATTCAAACCCGGCCGAGTGTGAACAAATGGAAAAAAAAAGATAAGCCAAACTATATTGTTATTGAATATTGATGACTCTATGTTGAATTTTACTTTGCGTGATTGGATTGGGCTTCACGAGAAGCTGGCTACTACATACACACACATATACATACATAGATACATACAAGTTTTATTATTATTAGGGTATATTACAACCACCCCTGATGTATGGTCAAATTACGAAAACCCCACTCTTGTTTGGATAATTACAGTCACCCCCTCAACTCCTCAAATTTAGTGGAATTTTCGAGATTATATGGAATATTATCACTTTTGTACCCATTTTATCCCGTTCGAACTCTACATTTTGAAGCAAGATGATCATAATATGTGTTTTTTGGCTTGTATATATCAGATTGTGGTGCATCATAAACTGTATTTTTACACAAAACGAGTTCAAACTAGAACACATTCCACGAAATCTAGATGATTATGTTGAATTTGATACCATAAGGGTACTGGAGGTGTAAGAAAAAATCATAGTTGAGGGGTAGATGTAATTATCCAAACAAGAGGGGTTGTTTTGTAAATTGACCATACCTAAGGGGGTGTTTGTAATTTTCCCTTATTATTATAATATAGTTTTGTGAAGACTTTTGGGCAAAGGCCAAAAAGGGTTGACTATTCTTCTCTACCTATAGTATAGCTCCCTGCCAGTCAATGTATTCTTTCTGCAACTTGTTTGTATAAACATGTTTTTGTATGTATATGTGTATGTATAATCATGTGCATGTGGAGGGGGGGTGGTGGGGGTTGGGGGGGTGTGTGTAATAATTAAAATTAAAGGATGAGGTGCAGACAAGTTGGTAGTGGGCTTATCTCTTTTATTGTGCATTGGCACATTCCACCACCACAAGACAAGTTTCTGCTTTGGCTGCTGCATGTATTTCCAGCCGTTGGATCCTTATCATACTCTCGGTCAACGGGTTTAGATGCTGTCCCCATTTAATTTATTTTTGGGTATATTATATCTAGCTTGCTTTTATTTAAGTAGCATTAATATATTGTAGCTTTACTCTCGTGTTTTGGTGCTAGCTAACCATTTATAGCACCACCATCTAATTGTTAGTTTTTTTAAATTGGGGTAATGGCAAATAGGCCCATGACAAGGGCACTTAATTAAAATAAGGACATCCAATTTTTTTGTCTTTCAAATAAATCCAGCCCATTCAAACTTATTTGCAAATAAGGAAAATCCCTTTATATATACCAAAATTACCCCCAATTCATTGAAACCCAATTCAACTCTAATTTCATGATTTACACCCCAATTTAGCCCAATTTCATCAATTAACCAATTTTAACCCAAATTTCAATTTTGAACCCAATTTTAACCCTAATTCGTATCAATTCCACCCATTCTGCTCTAACTTCTTTAATATTACACATTGACCCCGGATTTTAACAAATATATCACATTAACCCCCAAAACTTTTTTTTTCAGAAAATAATTTTTTTTCTGAAATATTTTTTTTCCGGCCAGATTCCGCCGGCGTTGACCGCCGGTCTCCGGCGTAGACTTTTTTTTTTTTTTTTTTTTTTGTTTTCCTGAAAAATTTTTCCGGCCGGTCAACGGCCGTTGACCGCCGGGTCTCCGGCGTTGACTTTTTTTTTTTTTTCCTTAAAAAAAATATTTTAATTACTTTTACTGTCTTGGCTGCTAAATTACTGTCTCCGGCAGCTATTTAACTGTCGGAGACAGTAATTTAACTGTTAATTGACTGTTTTTTTTTTTTTCTTCAAAAATATTTTTAATTAATATTACTGTATTCGTTGCTAAATTACTGTCTCCAGCAGTTATTTAACTGTCGGAGACAGTAATTTAACTGTTAATTGACTTTTTTATTCTTAAAAAAAATATTTTTAATTAATATTATTGTATTCGTTGCTAAATTACTGTCTCCAGCAGTTATTTAACTGTCGGAGACAGTAATTTAACTGTTAATTGACTTTTTTATTCTTAAAAAAAATATTTTTAATTAATATTACTGTATTCGTTGCTAAATTACTGTCTCCAGCAGTTATTTAACTGTAGGAGACAGTAATTTAACTGTTAATTGACTTTTTTATTCTTAAAAAAAATATTTTTAATTAATATTACTGTATTCGTTGCTAAATTACTGTCTCCAGCAGTTATTTAACTGTAGGAGACAGTAACTTATCTGTTAATTGACTTTTTTTTTTTTTTTCCTTAAAAAAAAATTATTTTAATTAATATTACTGTCTTGGATGTTAAATTACTGTCTCCAACAGTAATTTAACTGTCTTAGACAATAATATTAATAATATTACTGTTCGGAAAAATAATATTCATAATATTACTGTCCCAAACAGTAATATTACTGTCTCAGACAGTAATTTAGTAGTCAGGACAGTAATATTAATTAAAATATTTTTTTTCTAAGAAAAAACAATTCAAAAAAAAAAAAAAAAAAAAAGTCAACGCCGGAGACCGGCGGTCAACGGTGGTTGACCGGCCGGAAAAAAAAAATCAGGAATAAAAAATTTCAAAAAAAAAAAAAAAAAAAAAAGTCAACGCCGGAGACCGGCGGTCTCCGGCGGTCAACGCCGGAATCTGGCCGGAAAAAAAACAATTCAGAAAAAAAATTATTTTCTGAAAAAAAAAAGTTTTGGGGGTTAATGTGATATATTTGTTTAAATCCGGGGTCAATGTGTAATATTAAAGAAGTTAGAGCATAATGGGTGGAATTGTTAAGAATTATATTATTGAGGGTATTTTAGACTAAAGACATGGGGATGGGCTTAATTGAGAGACTGTTTTTTTTGTGGACTAAAATGCATTTAAGTCCCATGTGATGGGCTTTTTTGCCATTTGCCCTTTTAAATTTTACCCAAGTATTGGTTAAATTCACATTTTATTCCAATTAATCTAATTTTAGTTCTTATTTTAGAAATATGATATTCTATATATGCTTCTTTTTAAGTGTCGTTTTAGCCATAATTTTATTTTTCATATTAAGTATCACTTTAAAATTTTAAGATAGGACAATATTTTTTTGTCAGTTTTACGTTACAATTAACGAGAGATTAATGAACTAATAAGAGATTTAAAGCTATAAAACCCTTAATTTTGCCAAATATGAAATATTTTTCCTAAAATCAAGAGTATTTATTAACTTTCTTAATTGGTGTGCATTAACCTTATACGACACTTATTTTAAAACGAAGGGAGTAAAGACCTTTGAACTTTATGATCCAGACACAAATTTTCACGCCCGTTAGAAAAGAAAACTCAAAAACGATTACACACTAGCATTAAGGAGGGAAAACACATAAACTATCTTTAAATGCCTTATCTCACAATAGTCACTAGGACAAAATAAATTATACGGTGAGCATCGAGAAAGAAACTAAGCGAGAGATCGCTCCCCCCACTAAGTCGAGAGGAAGCTGACTAATAATATTGAAAGAATCTTGATTAGACTTGGCCGTTAAAGTAGAATGGAAATATCTTTGATTTCTCGGGATATTTTACGATCTGATTGGACAATTAAAAAGGAACTAAGAACCATTTGAAATCCACGGACACCTTATAAAAGGGGAAAGAGGCAAATCTAATAAGGTAATGACTAATTCTTATCAAAAAAAAAAAAAAGGTAATGACTAATTAACCAATCACTTCACTCCTATATGTTCCCAATATATGCCTCTCGCTCTTAAGTACTGCTTATATATACTCTTATTAATAAGAAGCTAACTTGGTAATAATTGACCGACCACGATTTTTCTAAATAATAAAGTTTTGTTATTATAATTTAATTGTAGTTAATGTAACGCTTTCTTTTTTGCCGAGAAAATATTTTATATCATGAATAAAGGGGAGCTCGTTAAAACTTTGTTGACCAAAACAAGAAAAAAAAAAGTACCCATTTTACAAATCTTTGAGAACTATACGACTTTCTACGAAAGCTATAGAGACCTATCATATCAAGAAAAAGGCAATGTCTTGTATTTTGAGCTAACATCTCTCCTTGGAGCCATGTTCTATTGTTTCCATGAATAAACGCCTCATTTGCAAGAATGTGAGCCACTTCATATTGTTCTTTGTAAATATGCCGCACTCTCTACATGTCTTTCTCTTTCCAGATGATTCTGATACTCAATCTCCCAAACTTTTTCAAATCGGTTCCAGTTACTTAATCAATAATAATTTTCGAGTGCGATTCAATGTTCACATTTGCAAATATACTTGCTGCAGATTGAGGGTTATATTGTGATACTTCACATCTTAAAAAGTAAATATACATGCTGAAAATTGAGTTATAAATATGTAATCACTTAACATCCAATTACAAGTTGACATGTGTCAATTTCAAATAAAGTCACCCATAAAGTTCCAATTGATAATTAATTTGATAACTATAATTAGTGTAGATGAATTTTAAATAAATATTAAAATATTATCTGAAACATCAATTGAGTATTTGATAACTCTACTTTAAGAACTAGTATTAGAGGTGTTCTTATTACAAGAAAGCTAAAAATACTTGCGTATAGACAAGGCCAAGAAGTTCCGTGACGAATTACCAAAAGTAAGAAGAAAATGATAGTCTACAAAAAAAGTGGATGAAAATAAAATATACACCAAATCATACAGCATGAAAATGAAGACATCATCCAAAAAAGTGAAAATTCATACATCGAAAGCTCTCGTGATATATACTAATAGTACTATATTATTTAAAGGTAAATTGAAAAAAAAAACCATGACAACGACATTTAATTAAAAGACTGATATTCAAATGTTTTGTTTTGCAAATATAACCACCCTATTTAAATATATTTGCTAATGAAAACTATTTTACATATACCAACATTACCTCTAACTTCTTAAAACTCCAATTCAACTTTAATTTCATGATCAAACCTTAGTTTAACCTTAATTTTACCAATTAATCATTGTTGACCCATAATCCAATTTTAACCCTAATTTTAACTGTCATTGTCGGTAATTTCGGGTGACCGCCGATCATCGTTGTTGAATTAAAAACAAAAAAAAACATCCGCAGGTTAACCAAATATCTCAGACGTTGACTTTTTTTTTAAACATATATATATATATATATATATATATATATATATATATATATATATATATATATA